GTTCATTTACACATTTTCATGAGGTTTTCAATTTTTAAAATAAATTTATTCATTTTACTTTCATGCCCAAAAAAGTATATTCGCCGACTCTATGTGCGGCCATTGTTAACGGTCGGTCTGGTAATACCGGAAACAAAACTGTTTTTTTGGCCTAAGCATGAAGCTGCAGCTGTGAAGCAGGTGTCTTGTTGGCATAGTACACAGATAAATATACAGTTTCAACAAGTTGATAACATTTACTTTTTCAAAGGGGTCTTTCGGTATAACAATAAAACAAATCGTTATTTCATGAAACTTCAGATGCAGCATGCAAAATTACGGTTCAAGGTCAACTCATATCATGGAAAGCATTTGACTGCGCAAGTAAAAGGCTTTCAGTTCGGCTCTTTCATTTTTTTCATGACTGTATTTTATATCACAGAAGTGAACTGGCTATGTGTATTGGATTGTCTAGCCGCATCGATATTTCTCACGCATATAAATTGGAAATTACTTTTTGAAAGCAAGTGCGCAATACCCACCTGTTCTTTAATGCAATCGTTGGCAATTTTTTGTTATAATTTCAAAATACTTTTTTCCTGGTTGTTTCATCACAGCTTTATGAATTTGTTTTTTTTTCTGCGGGAACGTGACGAAATCAGGCGTGGTGTGTGATCCAAGCAGAAATATGGTTTATCTCTTTTGGGCAGAAGTCAAAATTTACGGATTCACAAGAAAAGACACGAATTTCTGCAAATACAGTGATCAGATTTAAAGCTTTTTTTTTTTAATTAACATTGTAGTGAATGTTTGGTTAAGCCTCCTGCATATAAAAAGCCTTATTTGTTATGAACATGTCAAACAGACGAATCTTAAATTCGTCGCGAAAACCTTATCAATAAAAAAGTACTGGACTCAACAAAATGCTTGAGGAAAACACCGCCGGTTTTCCACTCAATTTTCAAGAAGATTATTTTCAGGGTTGAAGCTTATAATTTTCCTCACCAATTATACGCTTGGGCGTCATTTCTTAAGACGTCCATGGTATAAGTAATGGATTGCCACCTGCAAGCTAAATACCCATACCGGCTTATGCCCCGCTGATACTGGAAATACTAGCGTTTCATAGGGTGCATTCTACCCAAACCCGCGGCTTGTGAGATTCGATACGTGCTGAAGAAATTGAAAACTTGTCTCTCTGATGGATCAAGCCGATAGCAATAGTAACGCTGCAATCGGACACCAGATATTTAAGACACCTCTGTTTTTTTCTCAAAAGTTAGAATGGAGAGTTTAGAAGAATTTAGTCACTTCACGCTGTGTATATCGATCCGTAAACTCCTCCAAAGTTGTACAATGCGGAGCCTAAAATCACAGTTGTTATACCGTTTTCTGTGATTCCAACCGTTATGCTGATATTTGGAAAAGGAACTTATCAACTCACTTTCGAATTCAGCATATTACATCATACTTTCCATCGTGCAATAATTTTACTACACAAAAGGCTTGTAGTACAAAATTGATTTCAACGCGTAACCTATATCGTACCTTCCACGAATGATAAAATTAAGGGTATACCAATCAACATTACTATGATGCATCTTAAACAATATAAATATGGTTATACCAAGCCTTGCCGACAGCTAGAAACACCATCTGCAATTTTGTACTCTGCGATTGGCGACAAAACCTGGGCAATGTGTAAAAATCAATTGTCCGAACTTTCCTTCGGTCAGCACGCAACCTATCTATAGATTTTGCATCTGACCTTTTCATTAAAAGCTGATTGATTTTGATGCTGATGGGCGACACCTTTTTCCATTTTACCCCAAGAATTTAGATCTCGGTGAAATAAACGGTCCCCCATCCTGGCAAGAGCGGCATAAACTTTATTACTATCGATTCTCCGCTGATAAACTGTTCCTTCACCTAAATGTTTAAAAGTCTGGTTTCAGATTCCCCGACCCGGCCTATTTTGTAAATTTCACATCCGTGACACAATGTTCAGTCGAAAAAAGGGTGTATATATAAAGCAAAAGCAACCCATGGTAAGAACTAAGAACCCTTTTGAAAGGGTTACAGACACCCCAAAATAGTCTTTTACCACGTTCGTTAAAATAAAATCTTTAGGAGAAAACTTGATGACTTCATTTCACCGTTCTTTGTATCTCGCATATTCTCAACCTACATTCCATATCACCGTGACACAAAAATCAGTCTAAAACGTGTACCAAACTTTACTCATATTAAAAGACGTTCTTGTGGGCTAACAAATATTTAGGCTAGCTCTACAAATATCTAAAAAGAGTTCAGTTTGCAAGGAGCAGAAGAAAATTTCTTACTTCCAAAGATGAAATATTATCTCTCAGTGATTTCCTGCTACCTGCATGCTGCCTACGGCACATTAACTTTTTCACTGCACCTATTGGAAACGCCTCGCTTCGTATCGAGTTCAAGGTATGTCGTTTTACCTTTCTAGGTGGGTCAACATTTCAGCGCCAATGCTTTGTGATTCATGTCGAGAGCTTAATGGCCCGTTCTTCGCTGGTATGGTAATGACAATATGCGACGGTCCGTTACAGTAATGACCCATATTTCATCCCGATGGATGGATACTGAAACTCGGCATGTGCATTGAAAATGTCCAGACACTTCCAACACTACTCTGTAGTTCTACAACCTATTTGAAAAGAAAACGTACTTTCTTTCAAACAAAAGACTACACAATGAAGCTTCCGCTGTTTGACAATTATTTCTCGTTCACATTTTGAATTGTATCATTAAATTACCAGATTATCATTCTTTTTGGGGGGGGGGTTGCTTTTGATGGAATAAAACAGTAAACATGAATCTTGGGATTTTTGTTACAACGATTGATATGCTACGTCCAGCATTGACTTTTGTGCTTTATTATTCTCATTAAATTACCATTCACTTCAGGATGATAATTATATTATTAGCTGATACATTTTGTTGTAGTTGTTTATTAGGTAATGTATCAGTAAAACTGATTTGACAAAATGGAGGTTGATTGACGGGGCATCATTCAACAAAAGCCGTTTCCACGAATTTAAGTTTTGACCATTTCAACAGGTTTGTCAGGGCAATGCTTTCATGCAAGCTTTTTGTTTGTCCACCTGTATGGACTGAACGTGCATTTCCGTTCTCTCTCTGCCCGCGGACGATATGGCTTTACGGTTGAGTTACCCGAGATGTCATAATGGTGTATTATTCATAGCCATAAGCCCCAGCCCCAACATGCTAGGAATGATTGATGGCTAACTACTACACCCATTTACTAACTACTACACGCATGTGATGAGTGCGGCACAGTTTGAACATCATCCACATCCATACACTTCACGTCTGCATCAGGTTTGAAGATCACTTGTTCTGTTAATAATTAGCTCTCGATTTCCAATAAGATCTGAGCGAGAAATCTAACTCTCGCGAGAAATAAGCCAATTAGATATGTTCCTTTAAGACTTTCTAGGAGTTTTTAAGGGATAGGTATATGAAAAGTTTATGAAAATCCGTTGCGTTATCTCAATTTTTATAGTTGACAATTTACATAATCTTGAAGAGACAGGCACTTTGAGCACCCTACTTGGGGTGATAAAAAAATAATGGATTTGCCATTATCTAGCGAGAGTAATTTCAACAGCACTTCCATCCATAGTTAACGACAAATCATTATGCCTTAAGGAGCGGTTTCTTCCTGAAAATCTTTAATTGTGTGATCCATCATTCTCCACTCTGTAGAGAGCAATGCACGGTAAAAACAGCGGCATCGGTATATAATAGTGCACGACACGCTTCGTTGCATGACCAGAAAAAAAAAGAACCCTGCTCCTCTTGACCCAAGTGTGACCTCGAGTTATACCTGTGAAAATTGCTGTCTCAAATTGGAGTTGTAATTTTATTTAGTTACTTTTACGTTTAATTGCTTGTTGAAACAGTTAAAATCTATCTCTGACAAGGCCAACATCCAAGGCTTTCTGTTGATTAATTGCCAGAAGAAGCAAAGGGGGGAATTAATGCAGCATGCACGGTGTTTGAATATTGATGTGCAATTTTATCCGGGTCGCGCTTGTGTTCATTTCGTGGATGAGTAACCAATACTGTCTGTATCCCCAATCCCTTCGCACCGATGCCAACTCGAGATTGAAATGGTTCCGATGTCGAGCCATCCAATTACTGGCAATCGACCTCGAATCGTGTAGCACACGCGGTAAATATTTGCCCTCTCTCATTTTCTGACGATCACAAATTAAATACATCTGTTTATACAGGGAGATGGTTTCGCCAAAAGACAAAATGACACTGTGCAAACTTATCTTTTGTTAGTTTACTCTAGTTGATCACTTTCATCTATATCATCTGTCGGTCTAACTTTTATACGATTCCATTTTAAGTAATCTGTGTAACACTTGACAATGATTGGTTTGTTAACCAGTGCTGCTGTAATGTGCTCTTCACTCTACTATCGTGTGAGGGCGCCCTGCGCAAAAGTAACAGCCACATGGGCGAGGCATCCTTCATTCAAAATTAAGGTATCCGTGCACAATCACCCCTCAACGGTAACAAAAGTGAAACACAAAATGTCCCTATTGAAAGATACAGTATTATATACTGATATTTATCCGCAATGCTTATATTGTTTCGAAATTTGTTTCCCCCAAAATTGAAACTGTAACACATGCACATTATGTTTCAGACTGCGATTTATTTTCTATAGGGGCCTATCCCAATTTAAAGTTAATCTTTTTGGCGAAGTAAGCCACAGAAACTTAATATTTTACGGAAAATTAGCCTGACAAAATGAAGGAATGTTAGTAAATTTGATGAAACACCGTTATTTAAATACATTAGGTGCCGCTCCAAAATGTTTTGACAGAATGAAACAAACTACCTCAAATGTGAAGGAAAAAATCACGAGCTCTGCCCTAATTTGACTATTTTGCCAGAAAAAAGTACACAACTTAAATTATCCATGGAAAACGAGGGAAACGATATCTTACCTCCAAAATCTGATCCTCGTAGTTCAACACGGCTTGGACATTACCACCTCAGAAAGTTCAATCACACTACACGTAATGATGTCATTAATCAGTTGGCATACAAAGTATTTCCTGAGGACAGTTCTCGTTTTGTCACGGCTCCCTCTGTCGATGCATCTGTTGGGTTTCACAGTCAAAGGCTTTACAACCCGAAAATTAAATACGACGGGTTGGAGAAGTCAGGCTCAGGGATGATAAATTCATACAATTCCACGTCCAGTCTAGTTGTACTCCATCCATAAATATCCACGATTAGATGTGTGCTGGGCTTTTCTCAACGCTTAGTTAATCGTGTAGGTCCTTTCCAACTGTCTAGACAGTCCACTGCGAGCATCACAACCGTGGGCATGTCTGCAGCAAAGCTCAACTTTCCTGTGTAACAGTACACCAAAACAAAGCAGAAAACTAATGGTCAACTCACAACTCCGACACCTATTAAGCTAGTTCTTGGCAGCTTAATGTGTTGTAAACATGGTGAGACTAACGTGTTTCACTAATACCTCGTATATAGGCCATGCCTCGGAGGCCATAGCCATTGCAAAGGTTTAATGGCAACAATAGCAAAATAATCGTAACAATAAAAAGAATTTGACAGTCGTTCTCAATAGGCCTACTTTAATATGTGTGTGTTCAAACAAGTGGAGCACATTCTTTACAAAGCTTGTTGTTTACTCGCCTGGAAAAGACGTACATATCGATATCGTTCAAACATCGTACGTTTGGGTCAAGTGAAGATGGTATATCATAACGTTTAAAACCTTCATATTCCACTCTTCCGCGGGAAACTTGACGAAATTTGCATTGATATATGTTCCGACTTATCCCTCAATAAGGAAGAATAAACAAAGAGCAATTTCCAGTAACATTAGAGTATAGGTTAGCGGGGTTTAACTCACACAAAAGTATTATGGAGGCGTCATGCGCTGAAAACCACATGCCAAACACACGGGGTATGTTTTTGTCAATGTTTCGATTCGTTTCGTTTAAAATTCTGAACTCCAAACACTCAAAAGTTAACTTCAGTAGCTCAGCAATAATCTTTAATGAAAAACCATCATTATACTCACCAAATATCTAAAGCAGAGTCGTTTCAAGCTCACAATTTTGGTAAGAAAATTTTCGACGCGAGGAACACTTTCGGCCGACATTTTACAAAGTTCCGTCTCCATGCAAGAAATACGCATGCGCAGGGAAAAAAAAGCGCAATGCGTCTTTTGATTTCACAACAGGTGTTAGAACAATGGAACAAATATGCGGGTTTACGAAACTACGGCTTCGTCCCGCCTTCGGATTCCTCATGCTTAACATCGTTTAGAATGAGGCCTGCATCAAGTGGCGATACTCTATAATTGACCACATATTACATTTTTTGATGTTTGTGAAGCACAGCCTGTACCAATATGGGGTCACAGCCCCCCCCCCCCTCAAAAAAAGCTAGGGCCTTAAACCTTCTGAAGCCTAACCGGAGACGAAGCCGAGATTTTGATAACACCCACAGTTTGTGTTCCTGTGTCATATTCCACTGAACAAAGACCCGGATTGACATTATTTACTTATAAAACTTGGTGTACAAGAATGGCTTCTTCAGATTTTGTTTAAAAAAGTAGGCCAAAAAAGACTAATTCCATATTAAGCCTCAGAGAATTTAACAGTTGATTTAAAACATTACTGATACAAGCCCCGCCCCCCCCCCCAGGGTACCCGCCCACTCTAACATTACTCCACTGATTCACATGAATGAAACCACTAGTAACATTTTGTTAGTGCATGTTTTTACCTCATGATCAAATATTTTCAAACCTTTCAATTTTAACTGTTATGTCAAATTATTAAAAAGGGAAATGTAGGGCCTAAATGACATCAATAAATACAAAACAAAACAAAAATCGATTTCAGATCCAAAATTTCATGTAAAACACATCACAACCCTATGGGTTTAATATACATCATGCAGTTGTTCTTTTTTCGGTAAATATACATTAAATTTAGTTTGCATAAATATATAAAGTCATCTCAATAACAATGGAGGCAGCCGCTAAAATAATATCTCCATAAAATCAAAGCAATATTTCTTTAAAAACAACCATATTGTTCCCTTTACGCAGCTGAACATGACTCAATGAAAAATGTGACTACAACATAAGGGAAAGAAAATAACTATGTACATTTCAAAAAGGATAATCTTGAGCGGTGAAGCAGTTTCTGTGATGCAAGAAAATCAACCGAGAGGCTTTACTTTATCATCAGGGCGCCACCAACGTTAATTGTTTGCCAAGGTTTGGAGTATTAAAAAGTTCAGTAGAGTTAATAAAACTAGGAGCAGCATGACATTTATATGCATGCCTAAGTGGAAAGGTTATACAACTGAACTGTTTGGGTAACAACCAAAGATATTATAAGGTTTCAAGTGTTGCCAGTAATTACTTCCTTAATTCAATTTACAAATAGTTTACAATTCAGACGATTTTACATAAAAGTCTCATATTGTTACACAAAAGAATTGCTAGTTTATCGGCACAATATGGCTTAATTTATCATGCATTACAACCACTGTTCCATCGATTCGTGAATTTACTCTTGGATCTAAAATAAAATTGTATTATCTGTGATACTTTCTAAAGTACCTTTCGTCATGGATAATTTGTAATTAAATTAACCTACTATCTCAAGCTAAAAATAAAAAGGACTATAAGGAAGACTATAAGGAAGTCTAACTTCTAAAGTTCACCCCCTGTTAAGTATAAGCAATGAAATAAATATGTTTAAAATCTATGTAAAAACAAAGCTGTATGGAGAGTATATATTGTTTTGCTGACTATTAAGGCTTTAATATGTAATGGCCACTGGCGATTTTAATCTTAATTCTTAACAAACCCGTAACCCTTCACGATAGTTTATGGCATTGTGTTTTGCGCTTAATATAATTATATTACTCAAGACAGCGTTTCAATACAATAAAGAGCAATAAACACTTCAAGAAAATTGGAAAATTTTTAACAAAAAAATCCCAAGTAGCAGAAAAAACCTCTTAATTGATACAAGGCATGTATTATTGCTTTTCAAATTATCACATCCGAATTGCAGAATTTAAGTACATTTAAATAATTATGAAAGAACAAGTTTACAAAACAAACTAAAAAGAAAGCATACAAGCAAAGTGAGTCAACAGTTTAAGGGAAAAACCTATGCAGTCTCAGGTAAACAAGCTACTTTATAGGGTAAGCTATTAAAACAATGTGGGCCTTTATAAGTAACACATCACTTAAAAATAATATTATATTTTTGTTATATCAGGGGTTACTTTCATGGAGTCTAAACATTCACACAAGAAACTTTGGCTTAGCAAAACCACACAACTAACGAAAACAGCATGAGATATGAATTGCTTAACATTTTTTTTGCTAAGGAGCTTTATAAACTGGCTGAAAAGGTGTCATCTTTTATGAGCAAAGAATCATGCACCAAACTGGTGTATATAAATGATATCTCATATGAATTTTTTTTGTGGGCACATGGTGCTCTCTGGGTGTACATGTATTTCTTTGTGAAGTTAACAGAAAATTCGAAATCCCACTGGATTGTGAAATTACTGTCAAATATACTGACAGTTTCTAACTCAAAATATTAAGTAACAATGATGGACCATGATGGACAATAACAAGAAACTTTAAAAGCTTGGTTAACTAATAAAAGAAAAGTCCAGCGTAACAGAAAATACACATTTTTTTTTACATGACCAAAAAGCAGCTGAAATGTCTAAGCACAAACACAATACAATGTAAGCTATGACTATAGGTAGGTTCAGGATTTTTTCTCTCTCTATTCTCGATCTCCAGGGGAACATTTCTGGGAAAAAAATCTATTTAAAAATGTGTTCAATACTTATATTTTTAGTAATTCTGGTTGCACAACAGAGATAGTAGAATTTGGTTTAGGATACTGAAATGAGCATTCGGAATTTTTCAGTGAGAACAACTTTATCTTGTAAAAACAAAGACAGAAGTTAAATATTCAGAAAGTCCAGTTATTCAGAAAGTCCAGTAATTTAAGAAAAGACAGTGCAGTTACGAAAGATGGAATAAAACCTCACTTTTGAGGGAAGATGAAAAATGTTAGGATTGAACACAACACCTGCCTCCTTATTGCTGTTACACACCAAGTCTTTTATAAACAAAATATCTGCGATTAAGTTCCAAGTCTCTGATTATGCCTCAAACAAAAACTTCTCTCACTCAAAGGTTTGATGTTACTCTTTGAATTTGATAGACTCTTTTACTGTTTAAGACAAAATTTATATAAATTGGAAAGAGTTATCTTCTGATATTGTTATCATCTTTACTCAAGTTGACGTTTTTTTACCAGCAATGTGACAAAAAAATATTCTCCTCTGAGGCATTGTTTCCAATGGGGTTGGATATAATTTGCGAATTCAGAATTTAGAATTTCTGAGGCAGTTTAAAATGCCTCTTTACTGCACAAGAAATGAAAATTCCATAAAGCCAGTCATGGTGGAAAATAGCCCCGAAACTTGTCGAAATTATTATTTTCATTCTCACATGAGTTCAATTATTCGAGAAATGTCCGGAAAAAAATCTCAAAGCAGCCTCCAAAATAAAAGAGGGAAATCTCTTTTGAATACAATTGCTGGAAACATTTTTCAACACAATTTCAGATGTTTCATTGTATTATTTTTTTTGTTTTAACAAAACTGAGGTTCACATTTCACCTAAAGACTGGTTTCTTACTTGTGCTGCTGCTGATTTTCCTTCCTGTGGTAGAGGGCGCTTTAGTATATTGCTTGGCAGCACTTTGAGACGATTTTCTCCCTAGAGACACAGTCCTTTTCACTTTTGCTGGAGAACGTGGTGCTTCATCCAGTGAAGGGGTACTCCCATCTGTGCCAGCCTCATGCGAAGAGTCCAGGCCTTTGTCCCCCTTACGTCCCAATTTGTGAATAATTTTACTCAGTGTCCCTTTGTTGGTTTTCTTTGCTATGTCACTGTCCATTATTCCACGCTTACGCATTTTCGGTGGGAGGGAGGCTGCAGTTTTCCCACGGCTGAACCTGCTACTGGAGTCGGACTCATCAGCTGAGTCTTCAGAGACCGATATCGGAACTGGTTTGAGGTTTGCGTAAAGGGATGAAGTGCGTGGCATGTGTCGGGCCTCGTTGCTTGCTATGCTTCCCTCCTCCTGGGCCGATGCGTCCTCTTGGGACACTTCCCCTAAGGAGAGAGAGCTGATGCTACGAGTCTCACTACCATCGCCACTCGCTTCTACATCCATCATGCCGGTATCCACCGTGCTGCTCTTAGAAACATCTGATGATGATGCCAGATTCGAAGAAATGCTGGAATGTAATTTTGAGCCTCGCATCCTGCTTGGTACAGTGCTTGAGGAGGCTGGTTCTAGCTCACTCAAGCCAAATGTGGCCGTACCCATTTTCATTGGGCTCTTTGTCACTTGTGTTGCCTGTGTGGTTCTTGGTGACTGGGTTCCAGCTCTGGAAGCTGGAAGAGTTTTGGATGGTGTACTTACAGGTTTTTTGGTCACTGACGGAGAGTGGAAGCTATTGGGTTTTTTAACCGGTGATACTCTTGATGGATCTGAAGAGGCAGGTTGATTTGTTTTTGACTGTCCAGCAGGCTTAGGTGAAGTTGATCTTTTTGCTGGTGACGAACCAGTCTTACTGTCTGTTCTTGCTTTGGCAGTGTCAGTAACTGTTTTGCTAGGTCCTACACGACCAGATGATCTCACTCCACTACTTGAAGGTGTTTTGTTGGTTGAGGGAAGCGTGCGCCGTTCTGGTGCTGAACGTACAAAGGGCCCTGTCCTTTTGACACTTGATCTTGGCGTAGGACTGGTAGCTTTCAAGGTTTTAGCAGATGTTGGTGATGTTCTAGAACCAGTGCTCTTGACACTACTAGTCGAGTTGGTGGATCTCATACTGGAAGAACGAGGTTTGGGATCAGATCGAGAGTCAGTGCTGCATGATGAGGCGGCAGAATTTGACCTGCTGATTCGTGTTGTCACTGTTTTGGTTCCTCTTGGAGAGCTCAGGTTTCTGCCATAGCCAGAGGACCTCATGGAAGAGTTGCTTGTAGTTGAGACAGTAGATGAGTTGCTTTGAGACGACTCGCGCCTTTGTCTGGTCTCTGAAGGTTCTGACTTTGGAAGGGATTCTGCACTGCCTATGGAAGAGCGTAACATTCCTGACGCTGGTGGTGACTGAGCCGGTGGTGATTTTACCTGGAAATTACGGGAGTTCTTCCTAACTCGAGGGCTAGATCTTGGCAATGGCGCATTCAAGTTAACTCTTAGTGGTGTACTTTTTCCTGGGTAAACCCTAGGACTTGTGGATGTCTGCCTCTGCGTAATTTTGCCTGTGGTTGTCTTAGCCACAGTTCTATTCACTGCTGGACCTTTTTTAACATTTCCAATTTGAGCTGCGGATTTCTTAGGAGATTTGGACGATGATGACGATGGAATTTCATTTGCATTCTCATCACTCTTAGTTGGGAGAGAACTCCCATTTATTTTCTTGGCTTTCTTTTCAGCTAGTGTTTCAGATGCAGTACGTGGATGAGACTGGTCTTTCAGAACGTAAACGTCATCATCAGTTATTTTATAGACTGTCTCAGTTGCTTGAGGTTCAGTGGCTTGGGGTTCAGTTGATGAGACTGTTACTTCAGTTGATGCCGATGGAATCTCCTGACTGCTCTCAGCTTCAATATCCTCCACGTGAAGATCATCCTTAGTATCTGAGAAAGTTTTGATGTCCAGCAGGTCTCGTCTTATTTCCACCTGTTGTCGATCAATTGATGCCCATGTTTCCTCTTCATTGAATGCCTGAGCCAGTGCCTGCTTCTGTCTGAACTTTGCTCTTAGCGCCTCTAACCCTTTCATCCTTGATAAGTCTGAGGAGATTTTCCTCGGGGACAACGGACCATCATCACCATCCTCAACACCAGCCATGATCTTTTCAATGGTACGCCGCTCTTGTCGGATCTTCAGGCTGTAAGACTCTGCATAAGATTCCAGCCCTTTAGCTAAACCTGCTTCAATGGGTCTATCCAAGAAAACAGTGCTTTCGTGATCTTCATAGATTGTTGAGGCTCTCCTTTTTTCCGTACGCTCTTCTTTGTTTTTAGGAGTGTCCCATGTAAGGCTTCCTGTTCTCCACCTGGCATATCGTTGCTTCTGTGTCCTGTCGCCGTCAGGTGTGTCACCATCCCTGGAACGATTCTTCTCCCGGGATGATAGCTGTGACTCGACAGTATCAAGAGCTGCTTCAACATCCATGTCCTGGACTTTGCTTTGCCAGTTGGAGACCTTGTTGTCAACTGACATGCCTCCATCGGTTTCGTCCGTTGGAGGTGTGGTTGTTGGAGACACTCCCTCACTTTCTTGGGCTGCTTTTCTCAGTCCCTGCGCAGCTTTCCTCACGTCCTCAATGCTAAACTCACTTTGGCTTCGACGAAGAGGCCGCCTCTTGGGCCGAGGAGCATCTGTGGGGGATTCGGAACTATTTACAATACTTGGCTCTGATTTTTTATCCAATTGACTCGATTCATGGACAGTTGATGTGGCAGAGCTCTCAGCTTTTGCGCTTGGCTGGAGCTCTGCTGATGCAGAATCCACCATCTTGCTGTATTTAGCAAGACGGTCCTTCCTGATTTCCGCACTTGCTTTATCTGAACTCTGCTCCAGAGATGTATTTTGAAGCACATGATCAATGTCTGAGGTCGATATTTCACTACGAGATCGGCGACTCATATTGAGTGGTTGTGTTGGGTTCCTTACATCACCTCCTCTCATGAGTTCCCTAATCCTGTCTTTCTCTTTACTAAGAGAATGAGACTGAGAACCTGATTTCTGTGAGTCAGGAGATTCCGTCTGCTCAGTGTTCAACTTGTTTCGTCTGGACAATGTTGGTGATTGACTCGGCGAATCCTTTCGTTCACGTGTGTCACTGTCTATAAAGTCCACATTGTTTTTCTTGGCACGCCTTCCCCCACTCCTTCGTATACTTCCATCTCTTTTGAGAGTCTCAAACTGTGCCAGGGCCTCATCTTCATTACCCTGTACCAGCATGTCAAAAAGAGAATCATCATCGGCTGAAAGCGGTCGAGTACCCGAGGCTTGTGATCGCTGGCGCCTGACGACCATTGTGTTTCCAGGGGAGTCTTCACGACTACTAGTGGAACTCCACGTACTGAATCCACTAGATGTACTCTGCCTATCGTCTGAGTCCAACATTCCGTCAGGGGCATTGTTACCTGATTCAGCAGCACTCTCTGTAATGGCGTTCAGGTTCTGCTCAAATTTCTGCTTGGATCTTCTGATAGGTGTGCTCCTGGTGATCACTCCAGGTTGATCATCCTCAGGGCATGGAGACTGGGGTCGACTGGCGTCGCTAGAGTCACCATCCACCTTGGCCTTCTGATGAGAGAACCCTCCCTTGATTCTGCCCAGTAGTTTGTCCACGATGGAGCTGGTCTCCTTCCCGCCGGGAAGGCTCTGGCTCCGTGGAGCCTTGGCCTTGCCATCTTTCCGACGCTGAGATTTTTGCTCCTCACTGCGTTGTCTCCTCTGTTCCATCTTCAGCTCCTGAAGCTGCCGCGTTTCATTTTCCTGCATAGATTAAATAGGAATAGATAAAAATGACTTTAAATGCACACTTGTCAATTACAGTTATGATCCTGTAATGATGAAACCAGTACATGTATTTGCGAAGTAGTTATTTTTTTTTGTTATGAGAGTCGCCCATCACAAGGCCCTTAAGGGCCAATCAAGGTGAGGTATACACAAAGATGTGAAAGAAAAGGAAATCTAAAAAAAAATGCAAACTACTTCAAGGACTGACATTACGCTTGTACTGGGAAGTATTTCACCCAACACAAGAGGCAGTGATGGAGCACACAATATGCACTGGGTCACAACCGTCTATGCATAAAGTGTATGTTCAACTTATTTTCATGTGAATGCCTACAACCCAAAGCATCTGGGATTTCAAAGAGAAAAAGTAACAGAGGAATTTCCTGATGCTGGAGGTTTTCTGCCAATCTACTTACCATCACGGCTTTCTTGAACTTCTCACAGAATATCTTGAAGGTCATGATGCACTCCTCCAGTTTGAAGGTGTTAGTGTCCTCACAGAAATACTCAGCAATGTTAACTCTCATCTTCTCAACAAAGGCAAGCATCTCGCGCACTTCCACGATGTCATCTTTGGCTGTCTGTATGGATAAAAAGGAAAGTGGGTGTAAGAAATCTAGAGAACAATTATGAACTTTAATACTTGAAACAGACTTGTGAAAATTTTTCACATTTCATCTATGCTAAATAAAAGGACAAATTTAAAAAACAAAATTGTTGCTATTCTTCTTCACTGTAAGGTAGATGTTTCCCACTAATGCTTCCATTACACCATTGTTGTTTAATCCTTCGATTGGTCAATTCAGTTGATTTTTATAAGAGGTAAAAAAAAAATCTTCCTTAACTTTGTCACCCTTGATAAGGCTGTTTGTTGTCAAGTCATTCTTACCTTAAGAAAGGACTCGACTTGCTTCTTGACTTCTGAGATGGCTTCATCTTCAACTTCAAGCTGTGAGGCAACCACATCGACTTTCTCTTCTAGAACCTTGATATCTGATGCAAGCTGATCCAAGGAAAACCTGAACCAGGACAAACGACTATTGTTACCCATCTAAAACCTTGGATAAAAAAATGACTTCTTATAAAATTATAAGGCACCACCAGTGGAGGTTGTGAGTTTATCCCTGACTGACTTTGAACTCTTTGCATCTCTTCAAACGAGATGCTTGGATAAAAAGAGAAAAAAAAACTGTCTTTAACCCTAAAAGGGCCGGGGGGAGGGGCGGAATGCCCCCCTCAACTTTTTCCGTGATAGCCCTGTAAACTATTTTTTTGCAACCCGAGCTGTTATGACTTTTTAGCCTCGAGCCTTGCGCATCTTTTGATACTGAAAACATAAAAATCAGACCACGGGTTGCTGCGCAGCGAAAAACTTTTCGTACATATGAATAATTAATTAGCCATTATTCCAAAACCCTTTGACCTATAGTCATGAAATTTTTTGGGTATGTTCATGAAGAGTTGCTCTATGCATGTACTGAGTTTCAAAATATTTCGTCACTCGGCAGCTAAGATAGATGGTCAAAATAACCCGGCCCTTTTTAGGGTTAAGTGAAGCTTAATTCCTTAACCAAGTATCACATCCCTAATGTTTAAGTCAAAGGACTTGTACAGCTTGTCATGCCAACAATATCAACAAAATACGTCCTGAAATGTAGGATCTTTATGAATTGAAAACAAGATGTATTCAGGAATACTGTGTGGATTTGCTACACACCTCGAACCTTCTTCCATATGAGTCAACTCCTCTGGAAAGCTCAATAGCTTCTTGTCTTTCTGTTGAGCTTGCTGTAAGTACAATCAAAGGGTTAAAATAATGGATGTGATTCAAAGACGAGTTAAGAAATAAATGATAAATGCCAAGACAAATGTTGTAAAAATGGAATTAAAAAGGCTGTTCATCAGGGCTGAAAATTACAGTCTCTGAAGGGGGATTTTTCTCTAGACTCTTTTTTTGTTTGCAAATCATGAATTTTGCATGCTACTTTTGGCTTTTGATCCATCACTTGATAATTTTACAGATATGGAAGGACTGTCTCCCCCCCAAAAAAAATTCATAAACATTCTGCTTCTTTTGTCATTGTCTTTAGCAGTGGTTTCATCATTGAGCAAATGACACACAATTAATTTGTATAATGCCAGACTTACCGAGGCAACATAATGCATGAGATTCATCCGTGGTTTGTTGGCTCTTGTCTCCACTAATTTCAACAGTGATGAAACTTTGAAGCCCACAGCATTCCCGGCATAACCACCCTGCAATGCAAGCAAAGGCATCAACATGAACCACACTTGAAGTCACTCATTCAAAGAATTCTCCATCACCGTGAGTTACTAGTTGAAAGTTACTTGGAGGACATGATGACACGCACTGGCTGTTTTAATACACAGGCACGGCTGACGGGTTAAGATGTCAAGATTGCCTGGACTCGCCTCCGGGTGACGTCTAAACATGCTAATCCCTCATTCTTTATGTACACACACACAAAGTCTCAGAAGTTGTGGAGTCGGACCGTGTGTTGATCTTGAATTGGCCGTTGTGCACGGCCTATTGTTGTACAATTTACGCTCCAGTGCACACCCCCCGAGTATTGAAACATATGAGGTTTCGGCAAGAAATATCGTACAAATACTGTTGAAATGACCCAGTGCGATTCATTATTTGTGGCATTTGGTTGTATATCCAAATTTGGCTGGAAACTTTTGCCTTTTGCGAAAATCAAAATTTGCGGCAAAAATAATCTTGGCGCAAAGTGGTTAAAGGGAATGTATAACATTTGCTTTTGCTGCAATTTTAAGCAATAAATGGATTTGGAAGATTAGTATGTTATAGAAAATATTGTTAAACTGACTTGTTTCACGTTTTGGGCTTGAAGATGCTGGAAAAACCAAAAAAACCTATCATGTTCTTGTAGTCTGGCTCCCTGACCCCACTTAAGATGAAACGGAGCAATTAATACACTTTGGGGAATTGTAAGGTCAGAGAATCAGTCTAGCAGTCTTGTACCTCTTCACAGGTGTGTTATCAATTGCAAAGAAATGTCAGAATAACTAAATATGAAAAATCAGGAAATGTTTTTGCAAAAAGCCAGTTTTCTCCAACGCTGGTCGGCCGACCAGCGCTGGAAAAATACACTTTTTCTTGAAAATGTCAGCACACCAGGAGCCACGATTTTAAAGGATGCTTTAGACCATCAGTCCCTAACCATTCAGTAAGGTATTTCGTGATAATTTGATCATTTCGTTTTTTGATGTTTGCAAATGATGTATCTTCCCTTTAACAAGGAAGGTCCTTTTTCTGTTCTACACAATTTCGGAGTTTGATTTTAAGACAAGGGTGATAGCACAAGACCCTGCAAGTTTTATTATATGATTGAAGTTTGCTCTCTAGTCGGTAAGTACTGTGAAGCAGCTGTTTTAATTTCTGATGAATTGCCACTTTCTTCAAATTCAGATTGAAAGCAAACGAGGATATGTTTTACGCAAACGTCAAAAGAAATATATTAATAGTTTTACCCTGAACATCCTTCATTTTGTAACAATTGGAAGTCTTATAAACTTACAGCATTGAGGAAGTTTCCAGTGAGAAGTACAAGGTGCAGGATCTCTCTGAGGGATGACGAGGACAGGATTTCTAGAAGAGAAAAAGAACAGTTTTAAATAGATACCAATACTGGGACTAATGACTCATTCATAAATACCTCAGACAGTTTAGCTATTCCTATTGGTCGAGAGCCCGTCACGTGGCCGGTCTTAAACGGATGATAAAGACATGGCTAGCTGGTCTTAAACACTTTTCCAGTGTCACAATAAAATGTGGACTCCTAAAAATCAGTGCCTCTTACCGTTTCATTGGTTGAACGTTCACAATCCTCACGTAGGCATGCGCAACACTACAAGCGAGTCAGAATTTTATAGTTCTAAATTCAAAACGCAACGCCCCAGGTGCGTTCTGCGTGACATCGCGCAGAACATGTTTACATCTTACTCGTCAGCTTAACACTCCATTATTTTGCTAGAGGGATGTTTCAAAAAGCATGAAGTGAACTTGTTGAACAAAATCGGGATTTTTTGAACGAATTATTTGATATTTTTTTACGGATAAGGTATTTATGAATGGGAATAAATATGTGCTCAGTCGGTATTTATCACTCTGTTTAATACCGCTTAGAGTCTGGGTGCTGATAATTACCCTCGCCTCCGGCTCGGGTAATTATCAGCTCCGGCTCGGGTAATTATCAGCACCCAGACTCTAAGCGGTATTAAACGAGTGATAAAAACCTCCGGAGCACACATTTATTCCCTTAGTAATACACGACTCCTCCCCATCTATTCAATTTCACAAGAAAAGGTTAAACATGAGCCATGCATGTAGCCAGTGCTGTGTTATGGTTATGGTACAGCTCCCAAGCATGGCATACACAGCCCACGACTGTTTTTTTGCACTTTTGCAGCCTTCAAAACATATACTGTTCCATTTCAAAGAGTGGATTAATTGTTCCACGAGTGTAAGCACCCAGGCATATCCCCAAAATACACGGTTTCAGGGCAGTGCTTGATTTACAGGTAAATAAACCTGCTATCAAAACAACATGGCCCCGGCCTCATTTGCTGTTATTTCATCCATGCAGTTTTCATGTGAAATGAAAAAAAAAACAGCAGAGGACACAACTTGAGTTTATCTTTCTCTCAATGTCATTAACCGTGCTAAAAACGCTTTGTCAATATAAAGAATAGTGAAATTGATTAGAGACCAGTGCTAAATTTTGTGGATCTGCAAAGAAGCAAAATATTTTAGTTGTGCTTCTGCACAGCAAAGCCATGAATTTGACTCCAGTTCACTGATTGTAGAGTTAGTTTTTTTGTTTTGTAAGTATTGTTAGAAGTTAAAGGGAATATACATCATTTGCTTTTGCTGTCATTTTCAGAAATGGATGGAATTGGGGGGTTGGAAATATATAGCAAATATAGTTACACTGACTTTTTTGAGGTTTTGGGTTCAAAAATGCTATAAAAACCAAGAAAAACAATCATTTTCCTGTAGTATGGTTCCCTGACTCCATTTAAGAAGAAACAGAGCAGTTTACATACATTTGGGAATTGTAAGGTCAGGGAACCAGTCTAGCTGGCTTGTACCCGTTCATAGGTGTGTAATCGATTGCAAACAAGTGCGATGGTCAATTGGGGCCAGTATTTGAAAAAAAGCCAGTTTTTTTTTCCAACGCTGGTCGGCCGATCAGCATTGGAAATTGATACAAAAATACCACTTTTCTTGAAAATGACAGTATACCAGGTGCCATGATTTTACAGGATGCTTTACACTGTCATTCACTAACGGTCCAGCAAGGTATTTCAAAATGATTCGGTAGTTTTATTTTTTGATGTTTGCAAATGTTGTATTTTCCCTTTAAGTCCCAGTACCTTGGCATGCCTCGATGATGCAACCAATAGAGGGAATCAGGTAGTCCATGTTGGAAGCAAACTCCTCCTTCAGTAACATGCTCTCCACACGTAATTTGTAGCTGGAAAGATAATGTACACACAAAAATAAGAGGTTATGTAAACAATTTTATGCGACAGGTTGCGAGACTTGCACAAAGTTGCCTACAATGAAGATAATATTGGTCTTGGTTGCAATTGTTGAAAAGAAATCTTCACCATGATTTTAACATGAGTATATCACACGGCAAAAGCCAGTAATCAGCTGTTTATCTCTCTCATTAAATGTTTTATCGCTCTAAGCCAGGTAAGGTTTCACGGATGAACCACCCATACATGTAGTGCCAATACTTACAATGGGATTTCCATGAGCATCAGATAGAACTGCTCTGCTGGTCCTAGTCTGGATCGGTTGCCATCAAAGGAGTTCAACATTTCAACCTTTGCATGAAGACAAATAAGAGAATAATCAAATTGTCTTCAAGCCAGACTTCAAAAGGGAATCTTCACACATACCCTTCCACAAAGAGAAGTTGTTAAGTCAATTTATTTACACTGGGTATTTTATTTTCAAAAGTGCAGATTCTTGAAAACTTAAGCTTTGATAAGAAAACCAAGAAAAACACTTGTGCTATTTAGGTTAAATTGCAAACCTAAGCAACATTATTCGACTGCTAATTATTGATTGTTTTAATGCATGTTTGCATAAGGTTTTGCCTCTATACTTTGGCTGCAAAATATTTGTATAAGTCCCAAACAATGTATAACTTTGAACAACTCACTTCTTCAGACTCCGGAAGAACTTTGATTAAACTCTTGAGTTTTTCTGCTCCGATGGCCTCGCTCTTTCCTTGCACTATGAGCCGCACTATTATCTCATTGGTGCTGAAAATCAATCCACAATCACAGCTTATTAATTTCGTCAAATAATGCAATGAATGCAAAATGCAAAAGTAAAACAAATGAGTTTGTTTAAAAGAGATTGTCCGTTCAATATTTTAAAGATGCAATTAACATAAACTGACAAAATATTTTGTTTTTTTCATGAATACATGAGACATTTGTAAAAAAGACTTTAAATTTTAACTACCTCTTGAACTGTCTCAGGAAGATGTTGACGTTGAGACTTCTTCTGCCATCAAGAAGATTAATCTAAAAAAGAAATTAAAGAGAGAAAAGAAAGAAACAATTTTTTTCATGAGTGCGAATTCTTTCACAGTTGTGCGAAAATTTGTGACAAACATTTCCCATTCTTGAGTAAATACATTTAGTCTTGACTAGCAAGCAAATGAGATGAAGAGGAAGACGGTTCTTCTACAGACATTTCCGATTCACCTGCTTCTGTTGACTGTAATTGCCCAAGATCGTGTCTCAGGTTTTTTCATCAGCATTATTTTTTTTCATAAGCTGCCATCTGAGTGTCATGAAAACACTTGTATTCCTGAAAATTATCATTTAATCCATTTCTAAATTCTTTGTTATCATTTTATTATATATTGAATTAACTTAATTCAATATGAAACACTAAAATTGTGCAAGTCTCGAACATTTCCATAAATGTATTCATAGTTTTAAAAACAATTTTGGAAGTAAAATCTTACAAAAAACACTGTTGTTTACTGTTTAGTTTATTTTACAAATGGATGACAGACATGATTTCTTCCACTTAATCGTTTTGCTCACCATTTCCACTGATTCTTTCTTCTTTTTCTGAGATTTCTCATCAGTCCCATCAACCTGTGTCTTCTTAGCCAGATTCTGCTGGCAGAACAATTCCTCCATTGTCTCCCAGTCTGCGCTAAAACCATTCTGGATCTGAAAAGGGAAAATATTCATTAAAAGTATTACTAGTAATCATCATGAAAATCCCCTGGGCTTTATTTTTTTTCCTATATAATACATGTTTGTTAATCAACACATCCACCCAATTTGTTACTGAAGCCTGTATCATATCACCCAAAAGTCAGAATTGTTGCGTTTGTTTACGGTGTACACACACGTGCAACATCATCGGTGAATCGAGGACAGGAACCAAATCGAGGACGACCTCGATTAGAAAACGTGTACAAAACCAATGAGAGCTGTACAAAGGAAAAGGAAGAGGAACAATAAACAAACGTTATTGTGTGTTCGTGTGACTGTATACTTCTTGTGTGATTTTTCTTGTTTCTGCTTCCTGATTTGGGTAACTCAATGCTGTATTCTGAGTTAAGATTCACGCTTTGTACTTCTGTACTAGTGTAGGAACATGTTTGTGACTTGTGTGATCTTTTTTATGCACTGATAATTTCATAACAATTCATGCAAACACAATTCTTAGGAAACAAGAAGTCAATCAAACCAAAACCTAAACTGAACGGATGGATAATCAAGGATATCAGGATTCTGAAGCAAAGATCCGTGATCCAAGGCCATGCGGGGGAAAAAATCGACGCATAAATATTTTAAACAATAGTATTGTTCAAAATATTTATTTTGGTCTGTCCCCATTGGTTTTTCCCCTATTTAATTCCTCTTTTGTGTTTTTCTCCCAACCCAGCGTGCTTGTTTGTCCCCTCCATGTTTGTTTCTTGTACCATTGTCATTTTGTCTCCAAAAAAAACCTTGTTAAGATCGTGGAAAGGCATGGCCGCATGAAGTTGATAAGCGTTGTTTAAAAAAGTTTCAGTGCTTGATTGATTCAGAGCATGATTCCTTAACTTCAACATTCTTCTTCAACTGGTAGAACTCTTTCAAAACTATCCTTTTATATTTCTGTACGGTTCTTGACATTTCAATTTTTCTTTTCATCACGTTAACTGTACAGGCATCTCCCAAGCTAGACTATCTTTGTTCACGAATATCTCCAGCGCAATAAAACAAACTCCCACTTTGTTTAATCTACTAAGAAATCTCGTCCATAAACAAAATGATGACAAATATAACTCATAAATGCCCATTATATTTGTAAGTTGTTCCTTACTACCACTCGGCCATTGGTCAAGAGTTTAACTGGCCATTAAGATTCAAAAGACCTTAGTAGGTTAACCACCCCACATTACTCCATGATGACTGGGGGGAAAACCCACACCATAAAACTCAAGCCATTATCAAGCTACAAACACAAACACTGTAATTCCCCTTGTGTGATTATAAACTGTTATTACACATGCTTGAAAACTGCGGTCTGTTTGTATTAGGGGATTTACTGGTGGGGGATGGGCCAAGTTGGTTCCGGTACACTATTTAGCGGTGCCGTTTGTAGCGGTCACGGGCCCCTATTGGGTGCGCAGTGTGTGTTTGTTTTAGCCTGTAAAGGCTGCAACTTTTGAGTCAAGTTTCCGTAATTGTATAGCCTAGTTGGAAATAATAAATCCAAAGGTAAAGTGGGCAGTAGTAAGTACATAAATAAAGAAGGAAATCGGATGGGAAAGGGCAATTAACATTTTTGTGGGGTGGTATAAGTATACATTTACTCTGCGAATTCCAAACTCTCATTATGAAAGTCGTGGTTCGAATAAATTCACAATGTCCAATTGTCCTGATGATAAACATTGATTGTCAATGCCATTCTACAGGTCAGAGCTAACATTTCCCACCGAATTCCTCTTCTAACCAATGAAGGTCAAAACATCTATATAGGATGACTCAACAATTTACACTCTTGTGTCATTGAGGCAAATCCTGCATACACAAATGCCCGGCCCTTTCACATCGGCATGCCAGTAACTGAATACACCACAGGTGCTATTAGACCTGCTGTTACAGCTTCGATCAGTGCCATAGAATTCCAGCTAGGTCAAGGGTATACACTGAATAAATGACGGCATCCGACTACCTGAACAAATTCACACATAATGGCTTGTTTTTTGGGTGAATACAATTGCTGAAAAATAATTCCAGAAATATATAGAAAACAATTATATCAAACGTCAAGAGTAACTTTTTCATGAAAACCTTACAAGAGAATTGATTGTTTTGACATGACTTCATGTATACATGTACTTGGAATTTATTCCAACACATAGGACTTCTCTAAAATCTTTCCTCGAAATGGGCAGCTTATTCTTGTAATGATTAAGTAAAAACCTTACAAGATAATTGATATTTTGATGTCTAGCCGTACACAGGTAGTTACTGAGAATTTATATCATTGCAACACAGAATTTTATTTCCTTGTTATTTCCGGCTTATTTTTGGCTCGAATTTCCAAATTCCCATTTGTCAACTGATCCATGAAAGGTTAGGTAAGGTTACATCCAGAGAGTTACATTTCATTTGCAATGTTCTCACAGTCTGTTTCATGTTCATTATCAAAATCGGCCAAATTTTCTGCACACAAAGACCACCGACAAAAAAACCCAATAAGGCACATGCATTATGTTCTAACTTCCTAATGGTTTTGTGTGTTCGATTGTGAGACGATTGGTAAACAAGGTGTACAACCATCTGTTAAGGCAATTGTGTAAACAATGGTTGTGGTTTTAATGAACTATTCAGTGGACAAAAGACAGCAGTAAGCGGTATCATCATCTTCCTACTGTGCTGTGCATAAAACTCCTCCGTTTTATACTCGCACGTTATGTGTTTTATAGCTCCATGATTCCAGGAAGTATTATTTCCCAAGAAGATGATTGATATGGTCTCAGGAATGCTTTACAGACGAAAGCAGAGGCAATCATTATGTAGCTGCCTGCACACCATCTTTGTGAACTTATTTATGTATATTTTAACAAATTTTATGCGCATTTAATATTAGTATGTGTGTGCAGACTTACCATGTTGACTTTGGCCCATACACTGTTCCCACTCATCACTTTATGAGGTGGTAGTTTACTCCAGTTTAATGTCCTCATCCTCATTTTGGGTTTCACGGTTGGAATGGCTGATGAACTAGGAATTGTCTGAGCGTGAGGTGTGGTCTTCTGCAGAGCCCCTCCCGGAGGAGGTGGGGGAGGGGGCATTCCCCCAGGGGGTGGGGGTGGGGGTGGTGGACCTCCCCCTGGGGGTGCAGGTGGTGGGGGAGGCGGTGGGGCACCCCCAGGGGGTGGTGGTGGAGGAGGTGGTGGAGCAGGTTGCAATGAAGGTCCAGGTGATGTCACAGTCTGTGAGGTTTTCATAACCTCAGAATCCTCATCACCCTCAATCCTACATACATGAGGTTGGTCCTCCTTGTTAATCCCCATCATTCCTGATGAGCTTATTGCACTTTCCTCTGCTGTACTGCCAGACATTCTCTCATTATCTGCAGTAGTCCTTGGCCGGTTTTCCGAAGGGGGCATGGTATCACTCGAACCTCCAGCAGATTTATCTGACTGTCCATCCCGTGCCTCGCTCGGTTCAGCTGAAGCACTGCTCTTAAACTTGTCCTTGTATGAGGCCACAGCCTTGACTAGGTCTCGATCGCCCAGTTTGAGCAGCCGTTCCAGTTGGTTTTTGTTCTCCAAGAGCACGGCCTTGTGGACTAGTTTCTCAGCGGCAACCCACACTGTGTCACTGATGGGATCCCTGGGCTCGATCCGAAGCAAATGCTGCAGGATGGTCAGGAAGGGAGTCACGTGGGGTGTATCGCACACCTGAGCAAAGAAACCAAAGAAAATTGATTCAGCTTCAATCAATTAGCATGGACTTGTGGACGTGAGCTGCGGACTGAAAATAAATGTCGACGTGAGGAAGTTATATGAGGCAATTGGTGGAGTTGTTTTAAACACAATAGCCTTCATAATGCTTGAAGTACTTCCCGTGTTGGTGCAATATTAACCGTTCTGCCTATACTCTCTCATACTCGTAAACAGTTTGAATGACAAAGCAAGTAATGAAGAATGAAAAAACAGACATCGTTTCCTGATTACTTAATTTCAAGTGTCAAACAAATGTTGCAAGCGAACTTCGTAAGCACACTCGTCACGCAAGTACAATGTATATTTTGATACTGTACAGGTTAATACTTCAGACTTTGGAGATTAAAAGTTGGACAAGATATATAGACATGATTGGGAAATAAAATGGTTGGATATTTCATATACGGATATACGGTGTCACGTTCTTATATATTACCATGAAAGAGAACGGATACGCCGTGGCAGGATGATAGAAAGCGAAACAAACGCTGACATGAAAGCAATCATGAACTGAACTGAACAAATAAGTCATTTGTATTTCCTCGTCCATAGTTAATCCATATTATTATAGCCTCATTGAAAATATTCTAAAAATCCCCGTTTACTTGATGACTTTTCAGAAGCTCACAATGTTTGACATCAGGACCTAAAAAAGTGCATATCCGTCGATCGGATCTTTCTCAACTAATTTACGCAGTTGCAGCACTATGCAATTCCCCCGCCCTCCCCCCCCCCAAAAAAACCCAATTTTTTTTTTAAACATCGATAACGAAATCTAACATAAAACACCGAGTACAAGGAAAAGTAAGACAAATTGGAGCGAAATCAGAGTTTTCAATGAACCAACTTACCGTAACAGACGGAGAAGAGACAGTGGTAGGTTGATATCAAATTTAAAAAAAAAATCTACATTACGTATTTTTTTTTAACTTACCTTCTTGATTTTGTATAATGCAAAACAATTCAGATAAAGCTTTAATTATCTTAAACTTACAGCAAGCTTTTTTTCACAACAGGTTGCAGTGAGATTCGTCACTCAAACAGTCAGACATAAGTTACCTTCAACATCAGTTCACAATATTCAATCTATACTCTCATAATAAATACTAGTAAAGAAAACTTCTGGCCGCCTCTGTGATATTTCTGTGATAATAAAATGCCGGTAGCATGCTGGTAGCATTCTGTCATCAGACCTCTATGAACCGGGCGGGATCGACCAACAGTGATGACTCACGGGCATATCTATGACGTCAATTACGTCACCAGTCACTGATAATATCAGTCATACGATTGGTTCGGTGGCGCGAACAGTGAACACGTCATTGGAATGGGCGTGATGTGACTGGTCCACTGAACAAACTGTATGCATTATGCATCAACATTGTCATATCTATGGCATGCGTGAACAATTTATAACGAACCTATTGTAATACTGAATTTAAAAGAAATTTACAAGTATTTAAAAGAAATTTCAATACTGGACATTAAACAGAAAGAATTTAGAGCAGAGGTGAATCACATGACATACGATAATGCTGCTTCCACTGTGCCCGGTCCAAAAATAAAATACAAGTTTCCAGAAAAATTATAACCTGTCCAGCTTAAATAACAAATTTCCGCTTGATGTCATTATGTTGGATTTCGTTATTGTTAATTACTATTTTTTGTTAAGTCTTCTCCACATTTTTTCTTTGGTATCAACATATCAGTTTCTAACATTATAAATGTTAGATGCTTATATCCAATTATAAAAAGCAAAAAGTATTGATTTGAGATTCGTCTGCTAGATAGACGCAAAAGCTGCAGGTTCATTCAAACATAGAGCAAGGAGGTTCCTTGCTCTATGATTCAAACTTCCGGACTTCCTGAAGTGTCGTTTGACGTATAAGGTCTACAGTTACACGTACAAAATCGTCCGACTTTCGAGAAGTATACTCGGCAGTTATTTTTCCCTTCCCCCAATCCCTTCAATCATATAAACTCAATAAAAACTTGTAAACAGCCTTTACAGTACATTGATTGACTTAGGTCCTTGACTGAGGTTCGACTTTCAAACTGCTCTTCAAATTCGAAATGGGCATGGACTATTAAGGCTGACATTTATTACTCGCAATTATCCTAGATTTGTTTTGCAACGCCCTTGATTTGTGGATGAACTGAAGTGAACAATTGCGAAGTTCAACCTTTACAGTATATTCATTGAGTTTTGAAGGTTAACGGGTAGACCTATGCATTTATTGGCAACACTATCAACAGCAGCACTGTTGCGAAAAAAACCCAGCTATGATGAATCTACTTACCAAGTACGGTCAGTCTAAACGACGTTTCCCCATTGTGATTTTTTCCTCCAGATTTTCCATAAATAAATGAATAATGAAAGACTCAAACTCAGAAAAACGAGAAGCAAAGCAAATGGGAATCAACGCGCTTCAAATCGCATTTCCTCGTTAGGATTATTCAGAACGCCCCCACAAAAATGATAACATTACTGTTATTTCCAAACCACAAAATATAAAAACATCGTTTACCCATAAGCTATATTTAGTTATAAAGAATTCCCCAAAACATTTTGCAGAGTCACAAGCAAATCGAAACCAGTATGTGCGTCCAGTGATCCACTCACACTTGTGGTAAAGTTGAAAGACACATGATTGCATTGACACCAGTTGGTTATGACTGGACTGTGATTTCTGACTGGTAATTGTTTCGTCTGGGTCAACTTCCAAAATAACTAATGTATTAGTCAGCATGTATCTCACAATGATAATTAACTGAAGTGGATCTAATGTGATACGTGGTTTGTCATGCCATACAATCTGACCAATAATTCTGCGATAACATCCCCTGCAAAATATCTCGATACACGCCCGTCTACCGTTCTATAACAATGAATCTTTAACCCTTTCCTTACCATGGGCGACTTTTGTCGACAAGAAGTACCCCCCTGCTGGTTCCCATGGGCGACTTTAGTTGACCAGGAAACCACACACAAAACACCCTCTACACAGATATATTCACTACTTTTCAGAAAGGCGGCATGTTGATATGTTTGGCCGCCCATACATCAACTTTACACCAGCTGAAAGAGTATTTTCGGATCTTTCTATTGGTGTGGTTTATTCATAGTGTTACCATTACAAAAAAACGAGAAAAGTGCTTCAGAAGTATCCACGCACAATTTGAGGTATGGAGTGCCATTTGGTCATGTGGTGAAATGGCTTGCAGTTTGATAATTGGGACCAGATAAACAAAAAGGCATAACTTTCTTATATTTGCACGTATGGACTTCATTTTTACATCACATAAAAGAGTAAGGTTCAAGGAACAAACTTTACACACAACACCTATGATTTTAATCACTCCTTGGCAGTGAAAATCTGGGTTGAAAAAAGTGAGTTTTTGACTCGTGCTCATTTTTTTCACGCTCTAGTGATTTCCGCATGACTGAGCAAACAATTTGGTCCTGGGGAGAGCCAAGTCAATAAACAATGTGGGCATGAAAGGGTTAAGCGCTAAACCTCAAAGGGCCCCATGCAATGTAATTGTTTAATGCAGTCATTGAAAAAAAACCTTTGTGTCGCATTTAACATTATTTTCAATTTTTAATTTACCATTTCAAGGGTATTTTGGGGTTTCATGCTAATGCGAATTTCCATATTCATGAGCAAAAGTGTGATGTCATCTCAGGCAGAAACCTCACTGTTACAGTTATTTCAGCACCAAAAGTTGCAAGAATTTTTGGATATTTTGCTGTCGTAAATGTTGTGTTCTTTGGTGATTCGTTGTTGTGTCAGTACATGACAGTAGGGCAGTGAGCACACTTTTTCCACAGACGTTTTCAATTCTGAGCAAATATTTGAGTTCACAATAAACAAAAAACCCATAAAGTGAACAGTGTCTTCCTGAAATGACATCACAGCAACAGCGCCCGCACTTGTCTGGAAAAAAAACATGGACATTTGTAAATGTTTAAAGAAGTGCACTTTTCCATAAAATTAACCAAAAAGGGATATCAAAATAGTTTTTCATACGTCCAATATCGTCTTCAAACGATTCTCAAAGCATGTACCTTTATGAGAACAAATCCCAGCTCTGTTAATTTGGAACATAACACTACACGCCTTTAACTTAACTACCAACCACCGGACAGAGTAATGCCCCCCCCCCCCCGCAAAAAAAGGGGAAAAACGAAAGTTAGTAGAACCATTTCACACATTGTAATAATTAATCGTTCAATGTTCTCCTTCAATGTTCTTCTTCACCCCTCCCGTGATTTGTTTTTGTGTGTGCTAGATTTCGCAAACTTGTTTGTAAGTTGAACGAAACATGCATGACCGCACCGTTAGACAAATTATTTCTACACAATGACACATCCTACGCGTTTTCGGGAACAACCATACGTCATTACGTTTAAAAATAGCCAACATTGCAAAACATCGACAACTTCAAGTACATATTTGTGGTTCGATTGACCGAACATAGTCCATGTTGATGAATTCGGGGCAACGGACTTTAAGACAAGGATCGAAATAATTCAAACAGAGTAACAGATGGAAAATAATTTCTAAATGTTGAACTGTTAATGATTAAAACCGATTGGAATTTTATCTTGGTGACGTTATGTATAATAAAAAATAATCTCTAATTGGTAATTATTAAGAGTTGAGTGGAAATTTCTGAATTCAACTTTTGTCCACGGCTACAGACACACAATATACATTAAAACTGATGCGAGCTCATGCATCTCTGCATAACTTAAGTCAAGGTATATCTGTCACAGTCTTCCAAATGTAAAGCTGTACAATCATAATAACATACATGTACATACCCGGCATGCCCGGTGCCGACAAACGCCATTCTCTGGCCAATGTGCATGAACACACGGGCCAACTGGCCAGAGGCATCACAAATAACTTCATTATTCCTCTGCGAACATGACCCATTCCAAATCAAGCCTTCTCATAAAGAAATACTCCTGCAATCGAGTTCCCGCAAAGTTGAAGTTCATTTACACATGTATAGCTCTGCATGTATGATCCGCAATGCAGATACATATACACACATTTCAGTCCTCTAGTCTCTACCTTTGGCAAATTGACAGAAACTGCTCAACCATTTAGCGGCACTTCCTGCTTTTAAATACACGCGCATACAGCTCAGGCCAACCAACCGAATCGCCACCGCACCCAGCAAGCCCCAAACACCGCAGGATAATTTCTCTTTTTCTAATGAAAAAATAAAGAACTTCAAGTTTCCAAGAGATGCAGTCCCATGTGCCCTACGGCTTGCGGCTCAGAATTCCCCACCGCGACCAAAATTGATTGGGACATCGGCAACCTTAACAACCACTCCTGTGTTCGCTTCAAATACATCTCAAAACAGCTCATTCCTTGTATTCAAAATTAATAGGCCTATAAGTTCACGTTCTTGGTAAAAAAGCAAAACCACAATATCTGCGGTGAGTGCCGTGAATAGAGGAGGGGGCCCAGTTAAACTCAGTTTGTCGATTGTATCTTAGCATCTATGAAACGAATCAAGTATTGTATTGATTAGCATGATAATAATGACCCTTCTCATATCAACGCACTTTCAAATGCATTCCAGGTTTTTCGTGTTTGACCACCAACCGTTTGCATGCTACCAATTATGAAGGTTATATTAATTTCAGTGGGCGCTGACATATTGTACAACTTACAAGTTTGATAATTGACGAACCATATACGTTGTGGTAAAGGTCAACCGCGTTCGGATCGGCCGCACTGTGGTTAATTCAGCACGCCGTGCAAAATACTTACCGTAAAATGATATCTTTCTAGTTTTATAATAAAAGACACATGCACCACGGTTACCAATCCTTACTTCTTGAATGATCCCACATCAAGGGCGCTTTTTGCCTTTTTCAAGACATTTCATCGCTGGGTTAAAACAATTAAACAATTGTTTTTTTTATATACACATTTGTTTTACATCAAAAGAGTAACAGGCGAGATTCATGTGTGGCTTTAAAATGCCACAACTTCAATTGGTGCGGTTACGTTTGCATAAAAGTTACCCTTTCCACATCAATCACTTTGATTGTGAAGGAGCCTTGTTGGAATAAATTAATAAAGTCATCCTTACGAGCATCTCTCAATCCTTGAAGTCTCTGTGTAAGGCAATACAACCATCAGCACAGACTCAGGACACGCCCATGTTGCTCCATCATCCATCCCAGGCTATAAGAAATCTTGAGGGGAAAGAACACTGCCAAATTGATGGGCAGTAACAAATCAAGCTCTATAAACAGACACCTGTCTCAATCATTCTCACCTGTTTGTATATTGTGTTGAAGACATCCACGGGATTATTAAGATCGACATCCTGAGGTCCAGTAAACTGCTCATCATCGTTCACTTTGTTCTCATCAAACACGTCGAGCTGAACTAAGAGGTCTACATCCTCGGGCTCTGATTTCCTGTCAGGTCAAAGGAATGTCAAAGGTCAGGTACCAAAGGTCAAAGATCAAAGAATATAAATGACCCGCTGTAAGCAGAGTTTGACTCTGAAATCACATCACCAATAGCAACAATTTATCAAATGTGTAGGTGCAGCTTTAGCATTGGCAGTAATGGATGATTGATGTGTGGTTTGAATCTGTTAGAATCTTACAGCATCTTTGGGTTCTCGACTTCATTTTGTACCACCTTGGAGGTGGCATGCCAAAACTGGCATCTGAACTGGCACGTACTAACAGACCTTTAAAGGGAATGTACATCATTGGCTTTCGCTGTAATTTTCAGAAATGAACTAGTTGAGGGGGAGTATAATAGAACAAAATATTGTTACACTGACATGTTTGAAGTTTTGTGTCCGAAAATGCTTGAAAAACCAAGAAAAACAAAAATGTTCAAGTAGTCTGGTTCCCTGACTCCACTAAAGATGAAATGGATAAAGTTATAGATGCCGGAAAATTGTAAGGTAAGGGAACAAGTCTAGCTGGCCTGCACCCGTTCATGAACATGTAACCAATAGCAAACACAATTTGGACTGAAACAAATGGTAAATATGGAGCAGTAGTTGAAAAATAGTTAGGTTTTTCCAACAGTGGTCGGCCGACCACCGTTGGAAATGCATACAAAAATACCATTTTCTTGAAAATGACTTCACACCAGGTGCCATAATTTTACAGAATGCTTCAGACTGTCATTTACCAACATCCTAGTAAGTTATTTCGTAAAACCTTGGTAGCTTTATTTTTCGATGTTTGCAAATGTTGTATTTTCCCTTTAACTGTAAAATTATGCTTGTGTGAAACATTTACCACCAACAACATGCTGTAAAATTCAAACTTCAGATTGTACAATAATAGAATCATGACTGCACATTCCCTCAATGAACATGAAAAGTCACACAGGGCCGTATATGGTCTTCGTTGTACAGCTTCAAGTGCTAGCTTTGCGCTAGAATGATGGACGGTGGTCTGCAGCTTTGGAGACGTTTCTTGCCACAGAGCAGAAGTCAAGGCTTTGCTCACCCACGTGTTGGTTCATTATTGGTTAGTGCCCTCCCCCTTTGACATTTAGAAACACACGAACTGCAGACTAATACCCCCAGCTGATAGCAAGACACACGATGAAATATGGGAAAATATATTGAATTGGAGCTCGCACAAAATAGACGGCGAGATGACAATTATATTGGACTGTCAAAAGTGATCAGTCTGTATATCAATTTAGCTTTTTGTCTCATGCATTCTATTTTTACACATTAATATACTCTCTAAAAACTAAGTTGACATTTTTTTGTAGAGGAGAAATACATGTCTCAGCCATTGATGGAATAGCCATTGATATGGTTGAGAAAAGGCCCCAGCCATCCATATTTTGAAGACCATAATGACTTAAAGGGAATGTACATCATTGGCTTGTGCCGTAATTTTCAGAAATGAACTATTTGAGGGGTTAGTATAATAGATCAAATATTGTTACCCTGTCATGTTTGAAGTTTTGTGTTCGAAAGTGCTGGAAAAACCAAGAAAAACAAAAATGTTCAAGTAGTCTGGTTCCCTGACTCCACTAAAGATGAAATGGATCAATTTATAGATGCCGGAAAACTGTAAGGTAAGGGAACCAGTCTAGCTGGCCTGCACCCGTTCATGAACATGTAACCAATAGCAAACACAATTTGGACTGGAAAAAATGGTAAATTTGAAGCAGAAGTTGAAAAATAGTTAGGTTTTTCCAACGGTGGTCGGCCGACCACCGTTGGAAATTTATACAAAATACCACTTTTCTTGAAAATGACTTCACACCAGGTGCCATAATTTTACAGGATGTTTTAGACTGTCATTTACCAACATCCTAGTAAGATATTTTGTAAAAATGTGTTAGTTTTGTTTTTCGATGTTTGCAAATGTTGTATATTCTTTTTAAAACATTTTAACGTCAAAACTACACTGTGACTATACAACTATTTGGTTATTTCCGATGAGTCTTTCCGTATTTCCGATCGATTTCACATTCATCGTTTCACTTCATTTCTTTAGTTTGGTATTTCTTGGTCGTCTCACGGAATATAAAAGACAGTGGATACCAAGCAACACTACCGAGTATACAAAAATTCCTCTACGGTCACCGGCCTAAATTTAACCCTCGTCCAGCGCTCAATAACACCCCTAGCCTCAAGCACCGCAGACGTAACCCTCGCGACCTCCAGAAATTGACAGATATTCATGTCCGATTCTCCTGGAAGAGTTTCACGTCTCAAGGTCTCATCCATCATTTTATTGTGTTTCACCGAATTTTACAAAGGGAAAAGTACGCGAGCAGCAAGTAACAAAATGACAAGGTTAAGGTCATAAACAATGAGTGACTACATTTAAAGGCGAAAGTTTGTTTGGGTATTGTCTTGTTTTCTATTTTAAAGTCCAAAAAGGTTAATGGTTGTTTTAGCCTTCAACAAGTTCCAGCCAGCTCATAGCCACCTGCATCTGCCTTAAACTTAACTGTTCGGCTATTTAGTTTTCGCCCTTCAGATACACTGCTCAGTTTAGATGTACTATTTTTTTTAACTTAGACCTTATTTATAAACTCAACTTTCACAAGAACAATTGAAATCTGGAGGTCAGGGGCAATGGGGGTTTACGATAGTCACAATTTTAAGTGGTTGGCGAGTTTGTGAATCGTTCCGTCCCTCTGGAGACTGGGGAGGGTCATAAGTAACGGTGACCTCACACTAGCGACAGGTTGAGGCTAATTGCATCAACTGTTGAAATGTACATTGCGAATTACTGGGGAAATGATGGAATGTTAAATCACGCTGCAGGTGGAACCAGGTTGTCCCTGAAATACTTCGACATTCTAAATACATATGCCAATAAGAGTTCAGACTTCCTAATTTTCTTCATTCCGTCAATCTCGCTAATGCGAATGCAGACCGTGCCACACCAAGATTAGGTGCTTTGTTGAAATCGATGAGAGGAATCAATTTTAGTTTGAATTGTTTGAAACGACTACCTTAGAGTACTAATTGACTGATTAATTGAAAAATGTTATCGATCGCTACCATCCTCGCCAATGCATTTACACTTTCTAGGGAGCATGAAATCTTTTAAAAATGGACCACATTCTGCAGGTTGAGTGGATTTTTTGTCGGAGCTTGTTGCCCCTTTAAGTCAAAATAGGTTAAGTACGCAGAGGTTTTCCACACACTTGCATAAAGCGCCCTCTATGACATTAGAGCGCCCGAGTCTCGTGAAGTCGGGATTGCTTATACATGTATATCTCGAAAACGCTTTATTCGATGCTTTGCATTAGTGCCTTAAAAAAAACCTTATTTATCAAATTCAATACACTAGAATAAAAATCCGGAGAGTCACATGTGTTAGATCATCTGTTACCTTCGTAAGAAGGACTTTAAATCCCAGGTGTTAGGACTACATTCCAGCATTTTCGGAACCCAGGGTTCGGGGTACTAATGTACCTCCCCTTTGTTCACCGCCAAGAAAAAAATGTTCTAGAAAGTCCTCATGGGGAAAACGGTATGTTGATGACAGACCAACTTAAAGGGTATGTACCTCCATGGACAGCTTTTCCTATCCGTGCAGATAAAACACAGTCTGGTCGAAAATATCAGAATCAGTTGTCAAAATCTTACAACCTAATGAAACCAATCAACATCGATGCATGATGCATACACCTGTTTTAATATCTCATCATTATCCGTACAGACAAAATGATGACTACATTTGTACATTCTTATTCTGATCATCTGTTCAGACAGATTTTCCCGTTAAATGGCAACCTTCCGTGTTTGCAGACCCCAGGGTTTTGTCTTGTTTGCCAGCATGGCAAGGGACCTGAACGCAACAGGTCCCGGGCCGTGAAAGTGTTGAGAGTGATGCATTGATCTCTCACTTATACACAATCTCTCGCTCCTTTTACCAGACACAGCTTCTGGCAATTTCTAGCTTACCCTCAATAAAAAGGTGGGTCGGTGCCATTACCCCTACGTTTCGTATACATGTATAAAGGATAAGCAGTACAGTCTCCAGTGGTCATCAGAAAATGACAATGCAGGAATAAAGAGCTTCAAATTTCCGCTTTTTCCTAATTTTCTGTGGTAATTTTGTAGACATGGCTTGTCCGATCCTCTTTGCCCATGTCTGTCGAATGCCGAACTCTGCGACGCAAAAATCCTCACTTTCGCTGTACCGAAAAAGTGCAAAGGGAAACGAGGCAGAGACGTTGAAACCCCGCGCACAGTTGTGACAAAAACGCAGTGAAAGTACAAGTCCGAGCAACAGTTCCTGCGCGAATGTTTCGACCGTTGTTACTAATCTTTGGACAATTCATGGACTTACGACTCGAGTCTATGCCGAATTAGCAATGAAGTTTCCTGGTGGAATTCTGTATGTATGTACATGTATGTACAGTATGTATGTTCACAATTTTCCCCAGAAAATGTTCCTGTGAGAGCAAGATCTATGACCCCTAGTGACCCTTTGACATCACATACCCATTGTTTGGTAAACAAAGACGGGACCAGTGATTGAATGTACCATCAGAATATAATGATAATTGCACGGACGCTTCTGCCATCCGATCGTTTATTTGTCTAGAAGGCACGTGTGAAGCCTCCCAAACAATTGCCAAAAGATGGGTTCTATTTTGTCACGTTCGGCACGTTCCTTAACGAGGAAAGTGACCCCCTCGGAGCACCTCTGAGAGGTTTCGTTATGCTACGCCCTTGCCGTGGGGTACATGCGGAGATAATACGGAAAGTGGACAGAAATCAGCAGGGATGTCATTACCCTAGACTACCACCAGTCAGTGGGCGTGGTTGGAGGGGTGTCGGTGGGTGGACGACCTCCTCTCCAAACAACTATAGAGCATGAGCAATGAATGGGCTCTATGGAACAACAGATGTTTGTGGTGGGATATTTTGTTCCATTTGTACTGATTCTCCATGTAACCGGTAGCAGTATCACGCGTCTGTACAATAAGTTAGGCTGTATTTTATGATTATAATAAAGTCCACAGTACAAATATAACTCTATAAAAGTTTGGAATGATACTTGTGTAAGTTGTGTTACACATCTAACAGGTACTGGACGTGAAAATATATATAAAGATCAAATACGGTACGTCTAATGTGTACTTCCTGCTTCTGTTAAAAATATTGCATGAAATACAAGTTATATAGATAGACGTCCAGGCAAACAGATCGTCCCTGTTATGTATCAATGTAGCAAAGACTGGGGCCCAGGCTTGATAATTAGATACATTCCAGTCGAACAGGTGTGGAAATAATTGCATTCCGGAAATCCTATAAATATAAATACAGATGTATGTTCCCAATGCAATATTGCCAATCAACTCCTGTATTTATGAGGCGTACACAAATATAACTCATGGGTCAATGTCTTTTCGGAACTTCTAGTTGGAATAAGAAATGTTACCAGTTTTTGTATTCACGTGAAAATATGCGGGCTCCATAGTAACAAATCCTCAGTGCTAGTGCTACATGTACTACAGTTGCCACATATAACAAACATGTTGTAAGCAATTATGATCATAAAACGAACGCAAAAACGGTCACGCAAAAACGAACAGGCAAACAATGCGGTTCACAGTGTCATAGGCCAGTGAAAATAATAGGCTAATTTCCCAAGACGGGCCTAATTAACATTTTGAAAACATTCCGCCTAACAGTAACAGAAGTAAATTGTCGAAATAAAGTTGTAAACTTGTAATGAATGTGTTAAGATTTTCTGAAATAATCTCAACTTAAGTAACTCACCTGAGTGAAGTCAGTACATCCAGCAGTTTGAGTCCTGAATCGGGAAAAGAGCAAGAAGATTCCAACATTATTGTCAAGATCAAAGGAAACAATATTAAAACTCCCAGGACCTCGTCGGAATTAGTCAAATCTCCTGCTCTCAGAAAACCTCATCTTCAGCTTGGCATCCCAAAAATGTTTCCGAAGTTAAAATTCCAAGATTAGATCAGCGAAGGAGGAGTAAATGTAATAAGCAGCTCAGTTTGAGTTGCAAAGACGACTGGAAACTTCACAACGACTCAGTTGTTGTAACAGCGGGAGCGTTATCGGCGCATGTCGAGCTCCGATTGCGAAGCATGCGGGATCTGGCATTAATGTTCCCCGCTATGGCATGTGCTTTGTGTACCGTACCAACCACCGCTCTCCAGGAGTTGGGATTCTTGTGTTCTACCCCCACGGCAACTCGGAGGTCAGAGGGGGTTGGTTGGTCATTAGGGGCCGGTTGTTGGCCCTGTCACTGCCACCCTTCGCCAGCCATCCATCCACCGACAAGTGGTTCGGTTTGCTGGAATGTCAGGCTGGCTCCCGTCTAACTCGTTACCATGGTAACCGCCCGTGTATAACGCACCCACAGCTGACTAGGGTCAGACCCTGACCAGACATTACGTCCTTTATGACTGTTTTTGTTTGGGTGTTAAAAGAGGAATCTACCCCCCAAAAAAGGCTGTGCATAAAAAAGAGTTAACATTTCTTCCTTATAAACTAGACCAAAATCTTAAAATCTAATGAACACTCGAGATGAAAATAGTTTGTACAAGGAGGAGAAATGATTTTGCAATTCCCTCGGAAATCTTCAGCCTTAGATCTTGGATTTTTTGTCACCATAACAGACTCGTCAAAGCATTCCAATGGGAAAACACACTAATAATTCATTCTTCAATGGCATCAACAAAACACTTTGAACCACTTAAAATAACGCCACGTGCGCGTCGTCAACGGGCTGTTTATTATTTTGTTCCTTGATTTTTCCCTTGTCGATCGATTGATTATATATGTCCATAAATGGTGCTGTTGTGGATGATGTTTTCCTTTTGTTCTTAACTCTCGGTTTTATATTTCCTTTTGTAATATATAAAAACGGACGTTTTAGACGAAATCTGCTCATATTCTAGCTTGCGTTTGGGTTTGGTCTCGAAGGATTTCAACGCAATTTCTCCTTACGTTCTTGGCTTAAAGCTCGGGTTCTTTAAAGTTCAAGGAAACACACACAGCCTGAGGGTTGAAGTGGAATGAAATATTTCCGAACGACCTTGACTGAATCGCAGAGAATTTCCTCCACGATCGGCTGAGAGACAAATAGAAAGACAGTCTAGGATTTTTGTGAGACAGGTATTTTCATTAAATGTCAAGTAAGCTATTTGAAAGTGATTGTTTTCCATCTCATATAGCTTAGGGTGTTTATTTTCGAGGTGTACGTTTAGCCTTGCCCCCCGGCGCCCCCCCCCCCTCCCCCCCCCCAAAAAAACACAAAAAAGTGGAAATCAAAAGGAAGTGGCGATTGCCGCACCGCTTAACACTTTTCTTGATGACCAGGTGAGGTGCCTGATCAGCAAAATGAAGTGAAGCATGTGATTGTGTCTACTGGCTATCGTTACCATGATTGCTACTTCACATGAAGAGCCCCCCTGTAGACTGTAAACAGGTATATGGCAGGCGCAAGAATCAAGTGCTTCAGCCTTGTTTGGATTTCCATGTCATTTCTATTTCTTAGTGCTACTGGAATTGTTATATTTTTCAGTGAGCAAATCAGTGATTTAAATGAGAATTTAAAAGGTCCTTTTCTAAGCACCAACCGTGACAAATCAAAGCTTGGGTCAGGACCCCAACATTCTGGGGGATTCCGTAAGGACTATACCCTTTACCCTGCATCCATGACCCGTGTACGTGACGATACGCGCGTAATCCACCCGACTCTTCTCTAGGGAATATTGATAACCTTATTCCAGTTTATTGACAGTTTTATACGATATCAATTCGGGGGCCTGAGAGTCCGTGATAAAACGGCCTGAACTGATTTCGCCACAAAAAAAAGGAAGTTTCGATGATGGACTGCAATGATCGGGAGTGGACCTGTTGGCTCATTTATCACAGCTCACTGGATTTCCCCTGCCGTATGAGGACGCTATTCAACTTTCCAGCGAACATCTGAACACAAAGTACGGCTCTGTTGTTGTGTGACGTCTTCATCTACTACTACTAGTGTTTCATGAAAATTGCAGGTTTTTAATTGTAAAACATTTCAGTCTGTGGTTTTCAAGATGACTCAACCGATTGATAAACAGTATATCAGTGGGGGTCCAGTGGGATAAATTCCATCAGTTTTTGTTTGACCAAGTTTAGTCAAAACAGAAACATTTACTTATTTACAGTCATTGACTGTAAATAAGTGAGAATTCATTCCACTGAGGTAAACCCGACTAGCTACCAGACACAAGGAGAAAGTGTTACCAATATTTGGCATAACTGAAATAGTTTGATTTCAAAACATGTTTACAGGAAAATGTCGCAGATCGCACCGTCCTTGGTCGACTCGATCCACGTGTAGTAAAGGGGCGTAGCGCCATGACACCTAGCGTGATTCTCATTGTGATGGCGCCCTATCAAAATACCGTCCATTCAAACCATGAGGACCAACAACTCGGCTGTGTTACTTCCACTTCATCAGAGTTCAATGATGCCCCGACGAAAACAGTTCCAGTTTTGCCATGGTTTCCACACAACAGTAACAATTTTCGCGTGTGAAGGTACCTTCGGCACGATTAGAGTCTATTTACTCGCAGTTACAACTCATAAAATCGTGAATGCATTTTCACCATATTCAACAACTCTAAATAGAACATGTTTCTAGATATTGAATTCGTAAGGTACTGATGCGTGGTCTTCTTTCAAGGCGTGGGAGTGTCCGCATATTTGCAGTCACAGCAGGTGTAGGGCGGGGTGTCAATGCTACCCATACCTGTTTTTTTATGCTGATCAAAGCCTTTTGCTTATTTAATCTGAGATATTGACATTTTTTTACGAAGTACAATAGAAATCATGCGGGAACGGTACTTTTGTGGTATGTTTAACTTTTCTTTTTACAAACAACCTTTCACTGCATTCTTCAAATGTCTGAAATCGAATATAAATTTTTGAGGACGCAAACTCACCTCCAAACCTCATTGCTCAAAATCAATCTAAACATTTAAAATTTAACATCAAGGCCTATAACGTCCGGTTTCCACTGAAGTTGACATCTCTTTATGTCAATCATTCAATCGTTGACCGCGTCCCAGTTCCTTCAACAAACGGAGACAATGAAAAGATGTCCAGAAATACACGCATAAAATTTAAAACAACTTTGTTGAGCTTTCTTTAAATGGAGGAGTCCAACTCCAAGGTTGTCTTCACACTATTTTCTGGAACACAGACTAACTGCGGAAAAACTGAATGAGCGAAGTTGTATTTTGATTCAAGGTGCACATGTTGTGGGTTTTTGAAGATGAAAAAAGAACACTCAAAAAGTTGACAGCAAAAATATGAAATAATTTGTGCATGGGGTACTTTTTCATTGCCATTTTCCCTAATTTGTATTAATTAAACTGTATTGATTTGTGCAAAAGTGACCATGTTTTGAGATGGTGTTTAGATGAAGATAACTCACCTATGAGTTCATTTCGTAACCTGATCCTGTCTGGCAGGCTTTCCGTTGCTATGAGAACGCAGTTGATAAACGCCACCAACGTTGTCTTGTAAGACGTAACCTCTGACCTCTTCAGCTCATCCAAGACCAGACTGAACCGAAACCTCTGATCTTTGAGATTCTGTTGAGAAACAAAGTAAACAAACTGAGGAAATATTCTCGCAAAAGAACTTTGAACCCAACTTCGCCCTTTCCGACGCGGGAAAAAAATGTACATAACGTCTACGAAACTATTTTTTCAAATGATGATTACTCATGTTTGCGGCTCCGTCTTGCCCACCGTTTCTTTTTATGAGGAACTAAAAAGGCGACTCAACGATTTTTCTTTGATACCAAAAATTACATACCACAAGAACACCAAAACACATTTTCAGTATCAAAGATAACATTTCCGCAGCTACAAGGAAGTTCTCGATTCCAATTTGTTAGATTTTCTTTTTACCGGTTGACAAATAGTGCCGTGTGTTAAAGGTTAAACCTCCAGGCTTTACGCCTAGGATTTACTTGTCAAGTCTTACTCAGAAGCCAGTAGGATCAGTGGCCTAAAATTGAGTTATGGAAGGATACAATGGAACTCAAACGTATAGAGAAGACAATAAATAAGCGGTGAAAGTGGTATAAAACTGATGGAGAAACACACGTTCCACTTTGATTTTTATATGCACCGCTTTAGGAAGTGCAAATATAAACTGCATATATGTAAAATTACTTCCGAATAAACACTCGTGAACTTCAGCTGCATTAATAGATTTAAAATAATTAAGAATTACATCCAAATACAGTCTAATTACTGAGATTTAGCTTGCTGCAATATCATGCAACGCTACGATACCAAAATAGTGCGATTTCATGGCATTGATGGTAGACATTGAACCCGAGTAGAGAGACAGACACACCCCCAGAAAATGACGTCAAAACATGAGTAACGCCAGCCACCTCAAATAATGAATACATTCATGCAAATGTCGCGTGCACATTCAATTTATTTTCCTGGGTCTCAGGTTTTGTGCTTGAGTCAACACAGCAGGTTTTTCTTAGCATTGTTGATGGGATTTTCCCATACCCCATTCAGTCGCATACTGAGCCCTGGATGTCACACGTTTGGAGGTTATACGTCTATTAAACCCATTTTCGTGACACAGACACATCACAACAAGAAACTTTTATACGTGTCCTCGTTTTTGGTACATGGTGGAGATTTGTTATACCGCCCTCTTGTGAGAACTCGCTGGCAGCTAGTCTTGAAACAAGAAGTCATTTCCTTTTAAGTTCGAAGCGGCACTGGCCGAAAAAAGAGCCACTGTCTGTAGAGTGTGTATATTAGTTGGCAGTCTTGTCAGCAGACTAGTCCTACTCCACACTCTTTCTTTCGAGACAGAAAGACACTACCGTTTTTTGTAATCATTGCTTAATTTGCTTTTTACTGTTTAAATGAGTGGCACTGCACTGCTTATGATGGCAGTATTACGAAATACAATGGATCTGAAAAGTCCAAAACAATTCGTTGAAGACAACCCTCACAATCACAAGAGAAACCTAGTGGGCACAGCACTATACCTCAAGTCTTGGCACCAATTATACATGAAACTGAATGTAGGGAGGAAGGCACACAACCTCATGCAGGCCACGGTAATTACAAATCATCCCACTGGCACACAACCACTGATTCAAATCATCATTACATTCCCAAAGAAACCGACTTATTGTGTCTCTATACGGTCTCTAATAAACACTAACATCATCATTCAATAATATTGATCTACTCCTATTTGTCCAAAAATCCACAGAGACCGACAAAATCTTAAGCCCCCTCTCGTCTCGCCTCCTGGCTTTTGTCCATCGCACACCGACCAGGGAAATTGGACCTAATTGGGTACCCGGGATCGGGTCTCAAATCAAGGGGAGATTCCAGACTGTTTGCGCGGTGGTTCTTCATCTTAATCCCCGGTCTTTTTCTCCTCTTTTGCTGTTAGTGTCCTCAGTCGGCCACCCCTATGGTTCCTCTTTGACATGCTAAGTCGACCGTCCTTGGTTTTTCTCACACGTTTCTCTTCTAGTTAGGATCTTAGGATCATTCGTTGGCCTCAGGGCATTCTTGAAGTCCTTTGTGAAGGTGTTGGCGATCGTTATGTAGGTATTAGCTCGTGATTATCGAGAGAACACTTCGAATTTCATTGCTTTGAAGTCTGGGCGACATAATGTGATAAATTATAACATGTGAAATACATACAATAATGCATATTTTTCAGTAAAGAATACGGTTTGTAATCAAAGGATGGAAAGTGTTTTTATAGCAATGTTATGATTTGCAGCCTGGCTTAAAACAACTCAAGAATTGACATATACCATTACAATACTGAAGCTTTGAAATCGAATAGTAATAAAGGTTTGCTGTTATTTCATTCAGGTACATCATGGTCCACAATTATACATGTACATTAGTGTAATGTGGAGAGATTAGACAAAACAGACATATACACACACACAAAACTGTCCCATATGATTTTATGCTGGTAATCATGGCAGGTGATTATAAATCGATGTAGGGGGGCTATTTTTTTCCCGCCAAAAGAACCGAATCTGTGTCATTCCATGACAAAGTCTATGATGTCACTCATAACTCTTTTCATGTTGCCAACCCTCACAGGAAAAAGAAATTATCGCTCGACAAATGGGTGATAATCCCGTACTTATATTTCCTAATCCCGGTTGAACCCTGAGGGGTGATGTGGGGTCGGCTAGAAAGGACTCTTACACCCCTCTAACTACTGACGTAAATATCTGCAAACGAGTAAACATTTATGACAATGAGAACACTCCAAACGGCGCCTCCGACTGGAGCGAATTGTGTCAGGGATTCACCAGGTATGCCATAGGTCTACATAGTTCGGCCTCTGTGCATTGTGTGCTCGTGCTCAAGTCTAGTCCAAAACGGTGTTGTCACAAGAGACCACTTCAAATTTTTGGAGGAAATCAGGAATATTTCTCTGGCAATATGCTAACATCGACGGTATGCACTTTTATTGACGCTTTGCCCAAAGGCACTTACGTTTAAACAGACATAAGGGACAAATGTTTTCCTTCAGGTAAGGCTTCGTATTCAAAACAAGCTTCGTTTAATTAAAAAGATGACAAACAACTTTGTAGGGTTTCGCTCAACAATTTGAAGGATTTCACATCTCATTAGAGGACCTAGGCCACTGGTACGTGGTGAAATGTAGCTTAAAAGTCAATGTTTTTATGACCTTCCAATCGAATCCATGGACTACGAAATATAGCATAATTAGAAATATATACTGAGCGTAAGGTGAACGACCGATCATCTTTCTAATCATTTTATTATTTTTCCCCATCAATTACTTTATTCAGACAACTTTTACAAAGGAGAGACTTCCTCCAAAATAACAACATTTTAGATCAAAGAAACCGATATCAACGGGGAATAAAGCAGATAAAACGGCTGAGTGAAGAACAGAGAAAATCTCTACGCTAGCAATAACACCATTCATATATCAGGATTTACTTTGGTGGCACTTTTCACATAATATCCCATTGAACTTCAGTAATCCATCGCCACAAATCCCACGGCCAACGCGGGGGGAAGTTTTGCCTCCCGCAGGCTGACAATATTCAATGGGGAACTAAAAAAGGGGCTGAGAAAGAAAAAGGGGAACGGCATAGGGGCTATACCAAGCTGTCTGAAATGAAATAAATCACTTTCAGAATACGAGAAACTGTGGCTGCTTAAGACAGTTGCGCATTGGGTTTGTGTTGTACAAAATGTGAATTGTCCAATGATAAAATGGTATCAGCGTATTAAAAACGGCTGGGCAATATATCAAACATTGGGAACTCGTGACAAGGAAAAAGTTGTGCTTTTGACAATCTTTTGTGCCTGCGGTTTTCTTGTATAGGGGGCTAGGGAAGTTGCTCCCGATAACCGTAGGCCTACCAATTTATTTTCAAGTTGTCTGATTGTCATCATGATTTATGCAACATTAATTACTCCTTACCCTACCTTAAAAAAAGGTAAGCGACAGGTGTGATATTTGAATGTTACAATACAATGTCAGTGCTGGTAATGTTTACATTAATGATGGCCTGCTATTCTACCTAGACAAGGATGAGAATTGAATGCAACATCAAATATCAATTAATTATCGTTACAAGTACGATTGAATTGTCTGACACGGGGTGGTTCTACTTTCTGGGGAGGGTTTTCCTGCGACGACCTGGTATGTGGCGGTTAAGCCTCCATGAGACAACCACTTCAGAAATTCTATGCAACGGATTTTTTTAGGTCAATATTTTCGAGAGAGGTAGCATACCGCATAGCAAATGTAATGTAGAATTACTAGTCAAGGATTGCAAGTTTGCAAGTTTAAAGCTCAATCATCCTTTGTAAATATAAAAAATGGGTCGGAAGTTTCCATATTTAAGTGGGGCAACGATTAATAGGATATACAAAATGGGTACAAAACCCCGGAAGGTACCGTATGAGGTTTTACCTTTTTATTAAAAAGCACCTGAATAGCACAATATGTTATTCAACGCCGCGTGGGCCACTGACATCAATTAAACCATGCAGTTCATGGGACAGGATTTCAATTACGACGGGTCATTGTTGTAACACTGTAATAACTTTGCAAAATCGGTTCTATTTTTCCTTAGAACTCCGCGAAATAAAATTTACAAAGTGGGTCCCCCCAAAAAACTCCAAAATACAGGGATATTGATTTTCCGGAAGTTCATACCAATACTCAACTTGTAAGTTTAACCGATGCGGTTTATGTCAAAGAGGATATTCCATGGCGTAAACTTTGGCTTTTAAAGGCATTTTGACATGATTAACCATTAGTTAGCTATGTATTTTCGCACTATAGACACTTTCTTCTATAATCCTCTTAAAGTTAGCACAACCGTGTCTATGTAAAACGAAAATCCACCTCATATTCAGCCCAAGCGGTCTCCTGCTAGACTTTTTATTTGCAAAATGAACAAAGGCTTGTCACAACTTATTACTGCAAATCCAAGAGTAGCTGAATACACTGTGAAAAGGTTATCCACAGAATTTTGAATCGCGCCCGTGGCCCTCTGTAAAGGTTGTTAAACTGTTTGTTA